CTGCAAACCCCACCCGACTTCCTTTTCTGGGCAGGAAAGGGGTGTGGGAGCTGGGGGAGAGGAGGGACCATGTGGCTTTGTGCACGGGTGGGAGGTGGCTCTGCAGGGCTGTGTCCTCGCTGCTGGCACACAGGTACACGGCCGAGTCCCCCGGCTGCACAGGCTGGATCTTCAGGTTGGAGAATGACCTGCCAGACCTCTCCGCGGAGAAGCGGTCCTTGAATATTTCAGACTTCTCTGAAGGATTTTCATCATTGAAGTAAATCAGGAGCTCCATGTTCTTCCCTGGGGTCTGTCGGTACCAGTACAAGGACACGTGACCAGAAATGGGATCACACCTCAAGACCACCTCCCGATCCATTCCTATGACCAGGTGGCGAGGGCTCTGGTGGACTCTGGGTTCTGAGTGTCCTGGGGGAGGAGAAGGAAAGTAGAGAGTGTGTGAGGTGATGGGTGGGAAGGGCCTCGGTGAGTCTGAGGGAGGAGTTCCCAGCAGTCCCAGGGATTCACCTGCTCCCAGGAGACTGAACATGACCCAGCACAGAATCCAGTGGTGCATCGTGGGGTCTCTCTCTCTGCTCATCAGAAACACAGGTGGGTATGGGTTCCGTGGTCCCTGTTGCAACACCCCCTCCTGGAGTGCCCCTTACGGCGAGGAGGTCTTGGAGGTAGGGCTTCTTGGAGCTGGACAAACACAGGACACCAGGCCTCAGGGCCCAGCCTGTGAGGTAGGATGGTGCCCACAGGATGGAGGGCCGCACCTGGCAAAGGTCAGAGCAGTCCAGAGACAAAGCCCTGCTCAGAGCCACCTGAGCCCCAGGGAGCAACAACTCATGCCCGTAGACTCTGTGGCTGATGATGCAGGCTGGAGAAGGAGAGCAGGACCGTGGGTGGTGCACACTGTCTGTGCCCTACCACTGACCTAGAGGCTGGTGGTCCAAACCACCCAGCAGTGATGCAGCAGAAAGGCCTGGTGACTGCTTCTAAAAGATCAGCCCTGGGAACTTACAGAGTGGTTCCACATGGACACATGGGGAATCTCCCAGAGTCTGAGTGGGTCCCACGGCACCAAGCTTGGGTTTGGCATGTTCATTTGTTTGTTTATTCTGACTTATGACCCAGATGTGGGGTCTAAAGCAGGAAACATAAAGACACAGAAGGAAACAAACCAAGGCAGGGAGGGTGAACCCTGGAGGGGCCGGAGGAGTGGAGGCCCTGAGGTGACAGAAGTGGTGGCCCAGAGAACACCTGCCTGTGGGATGGGACCACACAGCCGGCGACAGGAACCTAATGGTCCATGGGAGCCGGGAGCCAGGAGGCAGGAGCTGGGAGAAGGTCTGAGCAGATTTGGGGCCTGGGGGACAGGCTGAGTCCTGGGAGGACAGTGTGAGAAGCTTGGTGTTAGAAGGAGAGTTGGAGGCTGGTGTGGCCTGTGTCACTGTTACCAGGAGCACTGCCTGGGTCCCGTCAGAGAGGAGATACTCACATACGGAGCACTGGGCAGTAACACTGTCCCCCCTCAGCCAGTAGGCACCAGTCCTCTAGGCCAGTCCACGGGATGTGGCGGCTGCATGCAGAGGTGGCATGTGCATATTGGGAGAAGTCAGGATCAGAAACGTCTGTAGGTCCTCCAGGAAGGAAGCCTGGGGCCGGGGAAGCAGACACTCCCACCTTCCTGCTGGGCCGTGGTTTGTGCTCAGGGTGGTGGAGGCTCTGCAGGGCTGTGTCTTTGCTGCTGGCACACAGGTTCACAGCCGAGTCGCCGGGCTCCAGGGCGTCCACGTGGAGGTACAGGTGGGAGTTGTCGGGCTTCTCAAGGGAGAAGCGACTCGGGACAGTCTCATTTGCAGAGACCTCCTTGTAGTTGTACAGAAACATGAGTTGTGGAGGCCTGTCTGGGACCTGTTTATACCAGTACATGGCGTTGTGTCCCAAACTCTGTTCACACCTCAAAGACCTCTTGTTCCCCATGCCTGTGACAAGGGACTTTGGTGTCTGGGTAATTCCTGTGTCCATGGAGCCTGTGGGGACAAGAAAGCAAAGTGAGCCGAGGGGACATTCTCACAAGGAGGCTTTATGGAAAAGGTAGATGTGTCAGGGTGGGGATGTCCACCTGAGCCAGGACTCACCTGTCCCCAGGAGGCAAAGCACCACCCAGCATTGGAGCCCACAGCTCATGGTGACTCAGGAAGAGTGGGATGGTACATCCCTGCTTAGTCTCTGTTCTGTGGGTGAGAGAAATGGGGCACCGGGTTTTCTGGCCCTGAAGGGAGTACTTTATGAGGTCCCTGCCCGACTAGCTACTACAGCCCACCTGTCTTCTCTCCCCTTCCTGCCCCGCAGGCTCTGTAGGAGCTTTGGGCCACCAGCATCCCTGAGTGTGGATGGGGGTCAGAGGCACATACCCAGCCACCCACTGCGCCTAACTCCCTGGCAAGGAACACCTGGGTCTCTCCTTCCGCTTTCCACTTATAGCACCTCCTCTCAGGGCACTGACTAAGTGCTCGGCTGCTAACTGAAAGGTCAGTCTTTCAAACCCACCAGACGCTCCTCAGGAGGAAGGACCTGGTTATCTGCTCCCACAAAAGTTACAGCCTGAAAATCCTGTGGGGCAGTTCTACCCTCTTGTAGAGGATCACTATTAGCCATAATCAACTCAACACAACACAGCAGCAACAACTCTCCCCACAAAGGAGCCCTGGCCGTGCAACAGTAAAGCACTCATCTGTTACCTGAAATATTGGCAGTTCGTACCCAGTGATTCATGGGAAAAACGCTTGTCTACTACTATAAAGGTCACAGCCTAGGAAAGCCCATAAGGAAGTTCTACTGTGTCCCATGGGGTCACTGTGAGTCACAGTGGACTTGACAGCCACCAGCACAACCACTGGGCCCCAAGTTCCTTCCCAAGCAGACTCCACTCCAGCCCCTGCTCTCTCTGGGATCCTCCATCCCTGGGACAGCAGGGCTTCCAGTTGTTGTTGTTGTTGTTATGTGCCTTCAAGTCGACCCCGACTCATAGCGACCCCTCCTTGGGTTGCCGAGGCATTATTACTACAGAAGTAGATAGCCCAAACTTCCTTCTGAGGAGTGGCTGGTGGGTTTGAACCGCCAGCCTTCTGGTTAGCAGTCAAGTGCCTTAGACACTATGCTACCAGGGATTCCAGACAGTGCAGAATTTCACACCAACCAAGAAGGAAGCACCCCTCAGTGAGAACTGAGGGGGACCCAGGAGGCATGGGCCCCAGCCCTCCCCAGGGAATATCACACATGTGGGGGCCTAATAAGGAGCTGGCCCTGACAAGGGGCTACAAGGGAATAACAAGAGTCCCAGGAGACAGGAGCCCAAGGGACTATTGTCCTGACTTGTCCACAGGCACCTCCCAGCTAGAACAAGGAGCAAACCTGAGACCCTTGCACGTCCCAGGCACTGGGCCCTACCTGTGCCTCCCCCACCAGCCGCAGGGCTCAGGCAGAGTCACAGCTCCCCCTAGAGGCCTCAGGGGCACACTGCCCAAACCTCACCCCAGGCCTCCTCACACAGCAGTGAGCAAAGGGGTATAGATGCAGTCCCCCCGGGTTAGGAAGATCCCAAGTACACACAACTCCTACTTGCCTTTTAAAATGGTTCTGCCATGACTGGCAAGGGAAAAATGAACAGAATTGAAGTTTCACAATTTGGCAGATTTGGGAAAGTAACCAGAACAGGAAAAGTTTCTGGTCATAACCCTGGAACGGGAGATATGGAAGAAACACAGTGAGCCTTTTTTAGGAGCCTGATGTGTGAGATTAGATTATTGCCCAGACAGTAGGAGAGCCACACATGTTCCAAAGGACACAGTCAGCTGCCATGTTTGAGAAGGGCACCACCATGTTTGAGGAGGAAGCCACCATCTTTGAGTGGGGCAGCACCACTTTGGACTGGGTCTCAAATCCGAGAGTAAGAGATTTCCTTGCTAAGTAGCATGCAAACTGGCCTTCTTCCTTAAGCGGGAGACAAAGCAAAGCTTCGACCATAATTTTTCCCATTCTGGCTCTCTTTCTCTCACTGTAATTTTAACAACTCGGGTCTGCTCTTGGGACAATTCCTCCACCATCACTGCACTGGGCAAGACCTGTCGGAAACCCTGACAAAGTCTTAAAGACACGCTTAGTAGACCTCAGTCTAACCTGGGGAGTGTCATACAAAGGGGTTCAGCAGGAAAGGGTAAGGTACCCACCGAGACCTGAGTCACAGCGCCCCATGTGGATCTGAGTGGACAGTGCCCACAGGGCTGCAATGGATGATTTCTGAAAGGTGAGACACCCAGTGAGACACTGAGTCGTGGTCCCATGTGGATCTGAGTGCACAAGGCCCACAGGTTTTCAATGGCTGATATTTCAGAAACCGATCACCAGGCCTTTCTTCTGAGGCACCTCTGGGCAGACTCCAGCCCACCCTCTCAGTCACCAGCTCAGCACCTATATGTTCACACCCCCAGGGACTGCACCTCTGAATCAGCAGGAGCCAATCAGGGTAGACCTCCTTGGAGATGTCCGTGTGTCCCCAACTCCTATCACAATGCCTAACACTCAATTCTTAGGACATAATGGGGCCTGTTCTGTTAATGAAGGGATAAATGAATGTAAGAGAAACAGGTAAAACCACATACAAGGGGTGAGTCTAATCACTCAAACGCATTGTTTCAAGTGTGTGCTACTGTAGATGCTGGCGTATGTTTCCACTGTGCCTCGCTGAAGTTAGGAACCCTGGTAGCACAGTGATAAAAGCATTTGGCTGCTAACCAATAGGTTGGCAGTTCCAATCCTCTAGCCACTTCATGAGAGAAACACGAGGCAGTCTGCTTCAGTAATGATTGACAGCCTTGCGAACCGTATGGGAGCAGTTCTACTCTGTCCTGTAAGGTGGTTCTGAGTTGGAATTGACTTGACGATAGGGTGTTTGTTTCTTGGTTATGGTTGTGAACAATTGGTTCTCAAGAGATGGACTGGATTGTAATGTATCAGTTAATTTTCCTGGCATGTAGTGAACTTTTGTTATTTTAAAGGAAAGTTAGAGGGTAATTTTACCCTAGGGAATACTATGGGACTTTTTTTTTTTGTCTTTTTTTTTTTTTTGTCTTCTCTTTTTTCTGAGTTGGGTAAAAGTTTGCAGGCGAATTTTTTTCTATTCAACAATCCGTTCACATATTGATTTATGGCTTTGAGTGTGTTCTGGATACCTGGTGGTGCTCTGACAAGAATACACCACGAATGGAATGCTTAGAACAAATAGGAGTTTATTCTCTTACTGCTCGGGAGGCTAGAAGTCCAACTTCACAGTGCCAGGCTCTAGAGTCTGGGTGAAAGCCCCTCGACCTTGGGCTTCAGCTCTGCCTCTTGTTCCCAGCCCACTGAAGCTAGAGCATCTCTTCACTCAGGCAGCTGCTGGCTGCTGAGGCTAACCAGCCCAAGGTCAACAAATAAAATGGCACCATCCTGATGTTACCAAACGACATGGCAAGCCATTCATTCAAGTCCATTGAAAGTCCCAAGGTTGACAGAACATGACAGGCTGCTGAACGACATGGCTATATGCAGGGTTCAATCATGTCATAAGCTGGAGACCATTCCCAAAGCTGTTGCTTATATAAGGGAAGCAGACTACATCCCTCAAGGCAGCTACTCAGTTGCTCACAGTAGATCCCACCATGGAGGCGATTCCAGTCTCATCATGGGGAATACTACACCCAGCTGCCCAGCCACTCAACCAGGCCCAGCCACGTTGACACACAAACTTAACCACCACAGAGTGCAATCTCCATGATGTAACAGCCTCTTCCCACTTTCTCCCTGTGTTTCCCGTTGCCATCCATCTGTATTTCTGACCCCTTCCTGCCTCCTGAACTTTACCTCTGGGTGAATGCTGCCCTTTTGAAGTCTGCACCTCTCTGGTATTATTGATCACCTTATAAAGCGGGAAGTTGAGCTTGGAGTGAGTTCAGTTCCAGGCTTGAAGAGTTACTAAGGACCAAAATCACGAGGGTTCCACCAGTCTCTGTCAGACCAGTCAGCCTGGACTTTCTTCTGTTTATTATTTTGAGTGTTGTTCCATGTTTTTCTCCCCCTCTATCTAAGACCTCCTATTGTGATTCCTTTCAGCGTGGTTGGCAGTGACACTCAGGGCCTCATCTAGTTCTTCTTGCCTCAGGGTCATGGATTATGGGGCATGTCTACTCTGTCCTACATGGTCACTATGAGTCAGAATTGACTTAATCACATACAGAAAAAACACAAGGTGATATTTTTTGGTGTCTATTAAGCATTGGTGAAAGGAAGGATAGGAGTCGAGGAATAGTTTTCCCACTGACAAGACCTTCCATCCGCAGATTGCACATTTCGGCATCTGGACTGGATTCTCTTCCATTGTTCGTATTTGCTCTGTTAGCCATGACCAGCAGCCATTCAGTGGGGTTGGTTCATAGTTTACTGTTAAATAAACCGATTAGTGCTGTTCATAAGAAAGAAGTGGAGGCCAGACAGACACAATGACGAAGCCTTCAAAATCCCTCTCTGTGCTAAGTATTAGTATTTCCCTTGTTTCCTGAGCAAATCCCTCTAAGCCTTTGGAATCTCCTGAGCAGTGGAGGCAGTTTTGTCATTGTAACACCTCCCGAGTGCGTCAAGGTCTGTGGAAATGGATGTTCCTTCTTCCAGGGAGAGACCACCTGGTGACCTGAGGGCAGGTGATCTCAGTAAGGGGCCAGGTTCACCCAGTCACACTTGGATTAGCCATGGGTGACATTTCTTATTTCCTCCTCTTCTTAAAAACCACGTGTAACTCACCAGCATGAAGCCATTGGTTCTGAGAAACAAAATACTCTCCCTGTGTGCATAAATGAACTGCTCGAATAAACCCTGCATGTTTTAAATTCTTTATGCCTTGATTATTTTTTAACAGTATAGACTATATTCTGTGACTCTCTGTTTGAAAATCAATCATAAACAAATATTGATTTGGATATAAACAATGAAATGATAACTTTAGACCTCCATGTGTTTGATAATGAACATCATTACAGGTGGCTCATGGGAGAATCGATGTATGATGGAATTTAAGAAACATTTAGCATAGAATACCAATGAAAATATTAACATTAAAATTTAGATTCAGCAAAAGTGGTAATAGGTGATAATCTGCTGGCTGATTCACTCATATCAGAAAAGAATAGAGAAAATAACGAACAAGTTATCCAACTTTCAACTTTAGGAAAAAGAATGGAAGGAGAAGGAGAAGGATGCTAGCGCATCCTGGTCCAGAGTCCAGTGCTCGGAAGACGGCATCCCTGAGAGAAGGACCTCACGCTTGGTGAGGTGGAGGGTCATTCAGAAAAGGGCAGACCCTCGATGAGCTGGATGGACAGTGGCTGCAATGATTGGCTCAAATAACAAGGATTGTGAGGAAGACACAGGACCAGACAGGGTTTCGATCTGTCGTGCATGGGCTCACTGTGAGTCAGAACCAACTCAATGGCTTATAACAACAAGCATTGTACAAAGAAAACCCCTAGTAATTCTACCTACTATATACGCATTTCCAAAATGACTTTCTCACTCACTGCCTTCGAGTCAGATCTGACTCATAGCGACCCCACCTTGGGTTTCCGAGGCGGTATCACTACGGAAGTAGATTGCCCAGTCTTCCTTCTGAGGAGTGGCTGGTGGGTTTGAATCACCAGCCTTCTGGTAGCAGTCAAATGCCTTAGGCACCACAGTCTCCCTCCCTAGCAAGAAACGTGCCAGCTATTCCTTGTCAACCTTTCCCCCTACCCTTGTGCCCGCAAGGCCAGGCAAATGGGGACTTGGGGAGAGCCTGGGGCTGTGGGGTCCTGAGAACAGACCCCATGTCCCTGTGGTCCCTGTCTCTTGCACAGAAGCAAAGCCCCAGGCTGCACTTCCAGGGCTGTGACCCCCTTTCCTGCTGCAACCCCAGGTGCTCAGGTGGCTCTGAGGTGGGTGCGGGCCCAGCAGGGAGGTTTGTGCACAGGGTGGTGGTGGCGCTGCAGGGCTGTGACAAGCTGCTGGCACAGAGGAACACGGCTGAGTCCAGGGCGCTCAGGTTCACCTTGGAGCTGTGGTTGGGGAACTGCTGGCCTGAGAACCCATCCCGGGTGTCACCTTTCTCTCTCTCTTCACCGTTATAATACTGAACGAGGAACTGGGGACCCTGGCCCCGCGTCTGCTGGTACCAGGACACAGAGAGGTGCCCAGAGATGGGGGAGCAGCTCAGTGTCACCAGCTGTCCTCGTTGTTTGATCAGGTGACCCGGGCTCTGGGTGACTCTGGAATCGGAATCCACAGGGCCTGCGGGAGGGGACAGCAGCTGAAATGACCAGAGGGACCCCATGCATTGAGCTCAGATGCTGTCAAGTCTGGAACAGGGGCGTCCCCTCCGTATCCAGGACTCACCTGCCCCCAGGATGAAAATGGCCATCCAGTAGATAAGGCTGGGGTCCATGGTGAGTTGTCCAGGTTGGGTAGGGTCTCCCTGCCAGGGTGCTGGCCCCTACTCCTGGAGCTAGCACCCTCCTCTGATTGGAGGGCAGGCTGTGATGTCACCACCCTGATGTCACTGTCCCTGATGGGGAGGTCACCCTGCCTCCCTGCCAACACTGGCCTGCTGGCCCACCCACCCCTGCCTGTCTTGCAAGCTACTTACAGCGGGTGGGCAGGCTGCATTGTGGGTCTGGGCTCAAAGGACCTCTTGTCAGCCCTCCGGTCCCCTCTTCTCTCATTCCTTTGCCTGTCCTCAATTAAAGCACCAGAGTGGCCCTGCAGCCCACTGCTACCCTCCTCCAGGAGCTCAGAGTATCCCTAAGGAGCTGTGGTGACATAGTGCCTAAGGCATTTGAGGCTAACCAGAATGTTGGCAGTTCAAACTCACAAGCCACTCCTTGGAAGGAAGACTGGGCTACCTACTTCTATAAAAAGTGACAGCCTCAAAAACCCAAAGAGGGTTGCTGAGTCAGAATTGACTGGATGGCAGTGAGTTAGTTTTTCCTTTTTTTGTTTTAAGCCTGAAGTTCATAGTCCCAACTGAGACAAAACACCTGCCCATCAGTGTCTCTGTGACTCTGCCAACCAGCCTCTACTTGATGAGCAGATCACAGAAGACTCTCCTTAACCCTCCCCTGCACACAGTCCCCACCCCCACCCCACCCAGTGATATTGGGGTCAGTGTCCCACAGCACCCCCATGTGGCTTTCTGCATTTCTAAGAAACCCACTGCCCTTGAGTCAGGTCTGACTCATAGCGACCCCTCCTAGGGTTCCTGAAGCGATGTCACTACAGAAATACTACAGAAATAGATTGCCTAACCTTCTTTCCGGGGAAAGGCTGGTGGGTTTGAACCAGCCTTCAGATTAGCAGTCATATGCCTTAGGCAATTTCTACTAAGATAACCAAAAAACCCCACTGCCATGGAGTACATTCCTAGTCACTGGGACCCTATAGGACAGAGCAGAACTGCCCCATAGGGTTTCCAAGGAGGAAAATCTTTAAGGAAACATCTTTCTCCTACAGAGCGATTGGTGAGTTTGAACTGATGACCTTTCACTTAGCAGCCGAGCTCTTAACTACTGTGCCATAAAGGAAAAAT